TAGTGAAAGAGAAAAATGCGACTTGTTTGCTCGTCATTTCAAGCAAGTGTTCCACGATTTCTCCGCTACTGTTGGGATGCCACGTGATGTGTTTAGTTTCGTTATTCCGCGCATTTCAGAAATCACCATGTCACCCGAATAAAAATTTACCATACAAAAACAATAGAACCTATTGTTACAATACAATAAAATCTATTGTAGCAACAATAAATGTTATTGTCAAAAACAATAAAAATACAATAGAACTTATTGTTATTTACAATATAATCTATTTTTTATGAGACATTTACAATAGAAAAGGGGGGTTGTTAGTTACCGTAACCATAAAAAAATCAATTTTTTCTCTAACAAATTTGATCTCATTACAATAAATTTTATTGTTATTTTATTGTGCAAAATTTTGATTCCATAGAATTTGTTGTAAACCTATTGTGGTGACTATTTGATTATCTGGCCAATACAATAGAATTACAATAAGATAAATTGTCAACAATAGAATCTATTGTATTTTATTGGTATTTTATTGTAATTTTATGGTTATTTTTATCCGGGTAGCCGAAACACGCAATCTGAAGCTCTCGTTCGCCGCCGGACCTGACGGCATTCCGTCATCAGTTCTAAAACGTTGTGCAGCCAATCTCTGCCTTCCACTTGCGAGGCTATTCAATCTCTCGGCACAGCAATGTGAGTTCCCCTGCAGCTGGAAACTTTCTTATCTGTTCCCAGTGCACAAAAAAGGAGATAAACGGAATGTCATTAATTATCGTGGAATCACCTGCCTGTGTGCCTGCTCAAAACTGTTCGAGATTATCATAAATGGTGCTCTGTTCGCACACTGCAAAAATTATATCGATACAGAACAACACGGTTTCTACCCGAAGCGCTCCGTGTCCACGAACCTGGTGCAGTTCACTTCTAACTGTCTGCGATACATGGATTCAGGATGGCAAGTCGATACTGCGTATATGGATCTAAAAGCTGCATTTGACCCAGTGGACCATAATATCTTGCTGGCCAAGCTGGAGATACTTGGCATCTCGTCAACGGCTGTGGGAGTCCCGCAAGGCAGTAACCTAGGACCGCTACTGTTTTCGATCTTTTTAAACGACGTCGCCTTGCTGATACCATCAGGATGCCGCGTTTTCTATGCAGACGATACGAAAATCTACAAAATTATTAAAAGCCTCTCGGACTGCTGGGATCTCCAGAATATGTTAAGTATTTTTGCTGACTGGTGCTCAAGAAATTTGATGAGTCGCATAGAAAAATGTAACATTATTTCCTATCACCGAAAATGACTATGTTCTCTACGGACGCTGTCTTGCTCGTTTAGAGCACATAAAGGATCTCGGCGTTACCTTGGACTGCAGACTCACTTTCAGAATCCACTACAATGACATCATCTCCAGAGCTAATCGACAATTGGGCTTTATTTTCAAAATTGCCGACGAGTTTCGTGACCCGCTATGCCTCAGGTCACTTTACTGCTCGCTTGTGCGATCCTTATTGGAGTCAAGTTCAGTTGTTTGGTGCCCTTTTCATGCTAGCTGGATAACTAGAATTGAATCCGTTCAACGAAAGTTTGTGAGATATGCTCTTCGTTTCCTCAACTGGCGTGACCCAACGAACTTGCCACCGTACGAGTAGCGTTGCCGTCTCCTGGGAATCTAACCATTAGAGGTGAGACGGACGGTCGCTCAAGCTATTTTCGCTGGAAAGCTGCTTACAGGTGACATTGACTGTCCAACACTGCTGTCACAGCTAAATATGCACGGAGCCGGAATTATACACAACACGAGCCAATTCGAGCAATCAGCCGGCAATTCAACAACTTTTTTTATATGTTCGACTTCAATGTATCAGCTGACGTGTTTCGTCATCGGCTACTTGGCCTTTTCCGTACCGTTTACCGTAACTATTTAGTTTAAGTTTTATTCATTTAGACAATAATTGTCAGTTGAATTTTTAAATAAACAATAAACAACAATTTCAAGAAAACTCTGCTAGATTACTTTTTCTTAGTGGTAAAAATGTAATCAAATTGAAGCTGAAATGAAGAGCTTTGAGTGTATTGGTTTATTTCCTTTTAATTCCGTTATAATTGCTTATCTGAACTGGTGTTGAGTACTTGGCACTGATGAAGTCTGCAAGTTGTAGACGAAATACGCGTATCTGTCAAAAGATAGGCAATTATAACGGAATTCAAAGGAAATAAACCAACACACTCAAAGCTCTTCATAAAGGGATTCCGTTAAGAGGTTCTTCACCCTTGGTTCAATTTTCATCCCTATTTGTGAACTCGTTGTCCTTCTCTGCATCACTACTAGTCGCTACTAGTCTCCCGAAAGTCTCCCATGTTATTTCTGATGTGTTCTACGATATTTCGAAATCCATTATCTCTGTATGATGATGTTGAGTTTCTATTTACCGTAACACCAATGCGGAAAATGGACAGTGTCTCCGGGTATTTTCTTAACGAGCATCACTCCATTGTCGTATCGAATGTGCTCCATTTTGCAGTTCTTCTTTCACTTTTACTTTGTTGACTCCATGGTATCGGGAAAGATATAAATATGTATATACATTATTAGCAATGATGTGATATAACCCCAACGGGATGGCCGTTCATAATGGTTCAACGGATGTGAAATGAGGGAACATTTAAATTTAACACGATTTAAAGAATTTCAATGCAACATAACATTTGTTCACTAACAATTAACACATTATTCAATATGTCACCCATGTTCTTGTTTTTGTTCGAACCGTATTTTCCATCCAAAAAAGCTTTTTTTTTTGTATGGAATATGCGGTTCGAACCAAAATGAGAATATAAGTTAAGTGCTTCCATGCTTCCATTTATTAACGTCCTTTTAAACAAACCACCTTGAAGAGATGGAAATAGTTCATTCAGGACGGCCAAGTCGCAACCAGCACCGAGCCGATTAGCATCCCCAGGTAGCGATAATCACGGGCTACTTAGAGTTGGCTATAACCTATTTGCTCTGTCATCGTCATCACTGACACTAGCGACTTATAAACAATAGTGCATTAGTGACAACGATGATCCCCCGTTCTTGTTCGCATTACTGACGGCAAATATCACCGCCAGCAACCCCACCGGGCACCGCGTGGAGGTAAGAATCGGATTGCAGGTGCACAGAGGTCGCAAATCGCCGGTCAGGGCAGAACCCAACAACCATTGATAGGCGTTCTTATGCTTTACCCGGCATAAGTTAAGTGGTTATCTTAACTAATGTCTGGAAGAATTTACTTGTATTTTATACAATTAGTATCAATGTTCTGTCATATCGTATCTTCAAGTAATCTTCGCAAGCGCCACATTTCGTTAAGGCTCTTTGGAACTAGATGTGATGAAATATGAAACGCACCTTTTAAAGTGAATTGCACATAACAATGTTCATCGCTTACTCACACATGAAATCCCCAACGATCAACCTCCCAAGTACCATTGCAAGCTTTATAGAGGTTTCATAGCATTCTACAAGTCGAAATCATGGTCTACAAAACCACAATAAATCCAAAATTGTTACTTGGGCTGGCAGAACGCGCCCTAACCTTCACTGAACCAAAGGGCAGGGATATGGCGGCACGTTGAAAATGTGCTTATACTTTCTGGGACACCCTATAGGATACTTTAATTCAAATCTCTCTCCCTTTACCTTTACCTTTAATTTTTGTAAGACTTCATTTTGGACAGAACTTTTCATAATGCTGCATAGGAAAAACATTCATAGTTTCATTGGTGAGTTAGTATTTTTTTTTCTCTGTTCGGGACATAAAACCACTGCGACCAGTAATTTGATCTATTGTAGTATATCCCGTGTCCTTAGTTTAGTGCATGTCGTATTAGTCCATCACTATTGAGGAATGATGAAGTGTTCGGTTTTGATACAGTTGTCATTCTTACCTTCATCGCAAGGAATCGACTCTAATTGAAAGGTCCCGCTATTTATACCCTTCGGAGTGTTGAAACACCCTCCAAAGACGCGCCCGTTTGTCACTCAAAATTGGATTCCTTAGCAACAAAAATAAGCTATGACACCGATAATGACCATGCATCAGAACCCTAGCCTTAACCACTTCAAACTAGGGAACAACGAATAGAAGATTAGGAATCACATAGGTGAAGACTAACTAATTCTTTTTTTCCTTGTTTCAAGATCATCCTCGGTCCAGGCAACCCGAAGACTTATCACTATCAACAAGGCATAAAAAGTAACAAGGACTAAGAATCAAAGGAACACCCTTTGATTACTAAAAAATCCTGTTCCTCTAGTTCGAAGTACTCAAGACTAGGAATCGGTGGTAGATCTTACATTCCAAAACGTACCACGAAAAGGTGATCTACCCACGTTACGGGCGAGTTAGCATTAAAAAAATGTTTATTTTCAAAATTATTGGGGGTGGCACGCTTGCCCCACCTCACCCTACAGCCCGAAAGAACTGCTCATGTTTTAAAACAGGAAAAATCTCCTAAAATTATTAAAATAGGGGAAATGACTCTAATCTAAGGCCTAAGCTAAGATTGGGCCCATCGCTAAAAATCTGCTATTTATCAATTTTATCTAGATAAACGCGTCATTGGGACGGTACTAATGGATATTTTTGGTTGCTATTGAAAATTTTGGTCTATTGTTGAATTTATGTATGGGCCCATATTAGGGACATTTAAGCCGACATTACATCCATTTCCCCTTTGATTTCCAATTGACATTTGAATTCTATAACACAAAAAACTGCTCATGATTGAAAGAAAATTTTATTATATTCGGGGCTAGTGTTACATTCGGGATATTGGTAATCGGGCTAGTGTTATTAAACCCTATAGGGTAAACGCTCCTATAGTTGCGGTACGTTAGAAGCGTTAAGTTCCTATAGTAGTGTATTGAGTCTACATGCACAACTATAGGAACCTAACGCTTCTAACATACCGCAACTATAGGAGCGTTTCCCCTAGTATATTTCGGATGTTCAGTAAAATGTTTCGATTAATATTCAGTTTATGTAACAAAGTTTATTGTCGACTTTTTAGTTTTCAAATTTATCCTTAGTTCGACATAAAAAATCAGTATCACTCCACCACATGCTTTCAGTTAGCTATTCCTACATCTTTACAAAGGCACTCAAACACTATCTAACGTAAGCGGAATCAGCAGACACTCGGTAAGCATTCTACTGTTCGACAAGGCAGGTAAATTGTCTACAGGTTTATATCGTATGTATAGCTTGTACATAGTAATCTTCCAGTTATTGTTCTCATGCGGATCTCTTCGCAATCCAATCATACTCTCAAACTCTCCTAGGCTGGTCAATCGATTGTCCAATCCCCTTCGGTTATTGTATACCACACCGACGGCCAGCACCAGTACACCATTTTCCGATATTCGACCCTGGCAACCATCGAACATGATGTTTGGCACCAATTGGAAACTGTACTGAAACTTTAGACTTAAAATTAGATTGATGATGTCCCTATTCCCTCGAACTTCTTCGACTCCTTGCTGACTTTCGCTTATTTCGAGCATCACTGAACAAACGGCGTCGGACCAGAATGCGCTCTCATCCAGCGAGTTGCGATTCCATTTGAGATAATACCAAGTTGTGTAATCCAGTGCCAGCAGGTTGACCGGATACTGTTCTTGCCCCGGATCTGTCGTATCGTACCCTGGTCCATTTGTTTGGTTTCCCATTGGCCCACCCGTTGCTACGAGATTTTGCATAGTGCTATTGGAAGAACTTGATTCTGCCGAAGTGGACGGAAGGACAATCGTCTGTGGATCGGAGTTCGGTGTGTTTTCTGGTGGTGCTCTATATTTGACTCGCCAAAAATGAAGGCACTGTTTTATCAGACTAGATTTTGTACTCTCCGGTGGAAGCTGTATGTTATAGCTCTGCAAATATCTGTAGATAAACTCTGGCTTAACGATGTTCTTCGAGAGCAGCGAAGTGGCATCGTGGCAATTATCCAGCATGACATTGAGTGATTCTGAAAGTGAAAGAGAAGTGATTTCGTAATTAATCAATAAACTGACCCAGTATAGTTGACATTATGTGTGAATTATTGGAAAGAAAACACCATTCGATTAACGATTTTAGGAGGAACTCAAAAGTAACAGCGTGTCACCTCACCTCACACGCCGCGCATAATAGGCCTGACTGTACCAGTAGCTTTTGGAAAATATCGGAAGAATAGGAAGAACAAGGAATAATTCTAATAGCGAATTTGTTTATTATCGGGGTTGGAACCAGATCCAACCCAGTGCGAAACCGAACTTTTTGTCAGTGCGAAACTCAACCTGAGCTAGGTTTTAAAAACAAACGATCAAACTGACGTTTGCAAGAAAACAAGCAGACCCGATCTTGATACCCGATCCAGGTTGGAACTGAATAATAAACAAATTCGCTATAAGATTAACATCAGATGAACTCTAAGGGCAGCTGATAGATCACCTTCGAGTGATACGTTAAGGAGTAAGATTTAGATTTACCACGTCGAACTCTGGTCGTCCTAAAGGTTATGAGACTCGGTTCTAGACATGCTGATGCATGCTATCAGTATCATCGCTAGTTTTTGTCACTGTGGACCTTTTAAGAGATTCCAGAACAAACTCTTCGAACACCACAATTAAATGAGGCTTCTTTTGAGAAGAGCAAGATTGAATGGTCCTATATGAGGGGGTTAGAAGGAAAGAGGGACATAGTGAGCAGGTGGGGCATAATGAGCATCCCTTAAACCAGTCCCAAACCTTTAATTGGTAGTAGCCCTAATAAACAAATACCATAAACGAACTGTATCCCACAAATGGTTTGGATGATACCTCGAACACGTCGAAGCTCTCTTTTATGGTTATTTCTATTAGGGAGGTTCAATATCACCATTGCGATGATTAATGACCAATTAATTTGTTTCGAACCATAAGAAATCCAAGGCTGAATCACAGGAAGCTCACTATGCCCCTCCTTCCCCTAACTGACTTTGATCGATTCTCTTCATCGCCGTTCTCTTTCGTTAATAATTCAGCTGCAAACACATTCCTTGATTCGTGTGCCATTCTGGATGTTAGATGAGAACCTCCTTTATCAAACTATGTGGGGCCTCAGCTCAGTCGGTAAAGGCGCAGCTACAAAGCAAGACCATGCTGGAGGTGGCTGGGTTCAATTCCCGGTCCGGTCTAGGAATTTTTCGGGTTGGAAAATTTCTCGACTTCCCTGGGCATAGAAGTATGATTGGACTTGCCGCACAATTATACCAATGCAAAAATGGTACAGGCATCGAAAACTCTCAATTAATAACTGTGGAAGCACTAGAACACTAAGTTGAGAGCACGCAATAAGCTAATATGCGATATGCAATAAGCTTGAAATGCGAAGAAGAAGGCAGAAATAGCGCAAAATCTGTTTATAAAGCTGTGGCTATCAAAAGAAAAAGTCGATGAGGAGAATCGATCAAATACACTACACCCCTTTCCTTCTAACCCCCTCATATTCAAGAACATGACAAAAGTTTTGCTTGCGTATGAAACAAGCAGGGAAAATCCGATTCCTGAGCTTCTCCTAATTGAAAAGAGTAAGCAAATATTCAATAATACTTTGCTGTAATAACCTTGCTTCTATCTGGTGGTGAGTGCTGTCAGAAGCAACATAAAACACCTTATTGCTTTTACTTTCAGGATTCTCCTCAATAATCTTATAATAGATTCTTTAGTATCTTATACTTATATTGGAGAAAACCGGGACTTTGCGGAGCAAAATAAAAAAAACTCTACTTCGTTTGATGTTTCAGACTGGAATGATCTTCCTCTTTATTTTTCATACGATCAGACCTTGTCGACCTGATCCAACTGTCATACGTAACATCGTATGGTGTTTTCGTTTAACGACATTTATCGTTTGCACTCTAAATTAGAACACATCAGCTCTTCTCTCTTCAGAAAGCATTTACAATTCAATTCACTACTACAACAATTTCTTATAATCTTCTTTTTCAAAGCTTCATACAATGCAAATCAGAACGTAAAAAATTATTACAAATTAATATACAAATTCTTCATCAATTGTTACCGCGAGGCAATTAATTTAAAACCAAAACCATAAGATAACCACATAGTTGCATCTCGTTTGCATAGCCCTAGCTGACGTTGATACCAAGGCCAAGAATATGAAATGAAAAGTAGGGCAAAAGGAGCGAGAGCTCGTTTTACATAATCTAACTGCAGTATTTACTTAGGAACGTTTCTGCGTTCAAGTAGGATAAACACGCCCACGCATGGCATGCTTGCGCATCTAGGTTACGTTTAGCTTTCCCTCTCTGTTTATCCTTAACGAAGGATATAATTATAATGTTTAAACGTTACAAATGTCTCATTCTTATTTGTAGAGCCATATCAGATCTGAGTTACAAAAAGAAATAAACTTACAAGATAACCCGAGAAATCCCAGATCTGAGAGGGCATAGTATATAAGATCCAAATAACACAAATTTACCCTTTCAAGGGCGATCGAAATCCTAGCTAATAGAATAGGCAAAATTAGGTCAAAAGTCCGGTATTGAAAGGGATATGTAAAACCCTGGACGAACCAAGTAAAAGTTTTACATAATTATAAGTTGCTAATGCAACACGTAGCTGTAAGATCACTTTGTACAATTTTGTTGAATAAAATTAAGTTTCATAGGCTACTCCAGATTCTTCTCTTTTTTGAATCCGAAAGAACTTTCGGCCTAGAAGTGAAAACTTCTCTCCTTAACCGGGGAAAAAAGTAGCTCCTAGAATCGAGAAACAGTGTCTGACCTGGAAGCGAAAGACTCTCCCTAACCGGAGAAGAAAGTAGCTTTTGGCGGCGACATTTCATGGTGGCTCCAGAGAGGAATCTTGGAGGACGTTTTCCGACGTTTTGAGCCCGCGAACTTCCAGTCAGTCGAAATCTGATTGCAAAGGACCGCAAAGTTGGCGGTTTAAGTGGGCCGTTGAGCCAAAGTGTCAATCTGACAAAGTGTGGCGTTAAGCCAAATAGCAGTCAGTCGAAATCTGACTGCAAAGAACCGCAAAGTTGGCGGTTTAAGTGGGCCGTTGAGCCAAAGTGTCAATCTGACAAAGTGTGGCGTTAAGCCAAATAGCAGTCAGTCGAAATCTGACTGCAAAGAACCGCAAAGTTGGCGGTTTAAGTGGGCCGTTGAGCCAAAGTGTCAATCTGACAAAGTGTGGCGTTAAGCCAAATAGCAGTCAGTCGAAATCTGACTGTAAAAGAACCGCAAGTTGGCAGTTCCAGTGGGCCTTTGTGCCAAATAGTGTGGCGTTAAGCCAAATAGCAGTCAGTCGAAATCTGACTGCAAAGGACCGCAAAGTTGGCGGTTTAAGTGGGCCGTTGAGCCAAAGCGTCAATCTGACAAAGTGTGGCGTTAAGCCAAATAGCAGTCAGTCGAAATCTGACTGCAAAGAACCGCAAAGTTGGCGGTTTAAGTGGGCCGTTGAGCCAAAGTGTCAATCTGACAAAGTGTGGCGTTAAGCCAAATAGCAGTCAGTCGAAATCTGACTGCAAAGAACCGCAAAGTTGGCGGTTTAAGTGGGCCGTTGAGCCAAAGTGTCAATCTGACAAAGTGTGGCGTTAAGCCAAATAGCAGTCAGTCGAAATCTGACTGCAAAGGACCGCAAAGTTGGCGGTTTAAGTGGGCCGTTGAGCCAAAGTGTCAATCTGACAAAGTGTGGCGTTAAGCCAAATAGCAGTCAGTCGAAATCTGACTGCAAAGAACCGCAAAGTTGGCGGTTTAAGTGGGCCGTTGAGCCAAAGTGTCAATCTGACAAAGTGTGGCGTTAAGCCAAATAGCAGTCAGTCGAAATCTGACTGCAAAGAACCGCAAAGTTGGCGGTTTAAGTGGGCCGTTGAGCCAAAGTGTCAATCTGACAAAGTGTGGCGTTAAGCCAAATAGCAGTCAGTCGAAATCTGACTGTAAAAGAACCGCAAGTTGGCAGTTCCAGTGGGCCTTTGTGCCAAATAGTGTGGCGTTAAGCCAAATAGCAGTCAGTCGAAATCTGACTGTAAAGAACCGCAAGTTGGCAGTTCCAGTGGGCCTTTGTGCCAAATAGTGTGGCGTTAAGCCAAATAGCAGTCAGTCGAAATCTGACTGTAAAGAACCGCAAGTTGGCAGTTCCAGTGGGCCTTTGTGCCAAATAGTGTGGCGTTAAGCCAAATAGCAGTCAGTCGAAATCTGACTGTAAAGAACCGCAAGTTGGCAGTTCCAGTGGGCCTTTGTGCCAAATAGTGTGGCGTTAAGCCAAATAGCAGTCAGTCGAAATCTGACTGTAAAGAACCGCAAGTTGGCAGTTCCAGTGGGCCTTTGTGCCAAATAGTGTGGCGTTAAGCCAAATAGCAGTCAGTCGAAATCTGACTGCAAAGAACCGCAAAGTTGGCGTTTTAAGTGGGCCGTTGAGCCAAAGTGCAAATCTGACAAAGGTCAGATAGTGCGAACATTTGGGCTCGTCAAAGCCAAGTAGGCTTATAGCCAAGTGATCTGAAAAGTTTCAGAAAATCCGGACATCGGTGGAAGTGGACATGAACGATTTGCAAAAAGAAATTGATGAATTGGTCGAGTATTTCAACGAAATCGACATTCAGGTTGCAAAATTAAAAAAAGTAAAGAAATATAAAAAGTGTCTAAATGAACCCTTTCCAAAGGGAGTGTATTGTGTAAGCAAGGCGTTTCCAGTGACCTTGTGGCGCGGTACCGATAAAGAAAAAGTGTTCCGGCAACATATTAGCAAATTCACTTTACACCACGCCACAAAGAAGTAGCTCAAGCCAGAGTAATAAAACGCCGCACTTTCCCACGGCTGAAGGCCAGAAGCAGACCACAAGCAACAAGGCTACAAGTTCATCAAATCCGGACTCCCACGGCTGAAGGCCGAAAATATCACAAAAGCTATAGGCCAACCGAAATCCTAGAAGGACGTCCAGTGGCAAGGAGCAGACCAATGGCGAGCTGCTAGGCCA